TATCTCCACAGCTCATGTTCTTATACAATCTGCCTAGTAACAATAAAAACTGCGACTTTTTATTTTACCTTTTTTTTTTTTTTAAAAAAATAGCTTTTATGGTATGAAGTTGTTCATAGTTCAGGCTTTGTCTATAACATTTTTATTGACATTAAATTCAAAGGGTTTCCATAAAGAGGAAATCTGAGCTTACAAGGATTAAAGAAGATACAAAGAAATGCCAAGATCCTTGCCATAAAGAAGCTCTCTATCTGATTTGGGGGTTGGGGTAGAAAACAAAATAAGAAGCTGCAGTTATTGAGCCTCAGATTGGAATGTGAAGGAACTGGGTTACCTGAGGGGGAAGAAGCAGAGAGGCTTAAGGGAAGGTTTGGATTGTGGGAGAGAAGGGAGGGAGAGGGGGGCTGGACTGAGCAGGAGAGGTTCCATTTCAGGAAACTGTTTCTTTGGAGCTGGGTCTGGAAGGTGAACACTCCAGGGGCTGCTTATACATTTTTTGCTGGATGAGGCAACTCTGTCACTGTGGGATCTGGGGGGGCATCTGCACTCACAGGCACGGGGAGGACCAGGTCCGGGTTCCCAGCAAGATCTGCAATATGTCGGTAGAGCGGGACCCCCTTCTCGGCTGCTCCAGCCTTGCACACAGCTAGCGACACTCCCAGGATGGCATTGGCTCCAAACTTGGCTGGAGGAAGCAAGCACAAAGAAAGGGTGAGAGCTTCTCCCCCAGTGTTTGGGGTCATCTCAAAGGGAACGTGTCAGCTTCACACTGTGTCCACGGACATCAGGACACGCCTGAGGAATGAATAAAAGTCCATCCAGCTACAATGTGCCCTGCAATGTGGGACACAGTAATAATCCTAACCAGACATGAGCCCCACGGTCTCTCCCCGTCTATCCCACATCCCATCCCTTCACTCACATTTATTCTCAGTCCCATCCAGCTCAATCATAAACTTGTCAATTTTTTCTTGATCCACGACGCTTAGTTTCTGGAAGAGCAGGTTTGAGGAGGGGAGAGCAGAAGTCAGATTTCTAAAGAGCCACGGCATGTGCAGAAGGAAGAAGTGCAGGTATTTGGAGAGACGAACCATTGGCCCCTCCCAGGCAGGGGGTGGTGGGGGGTAGGAGGAAGAAGCTCTCCCCACTTGCCTTTTCCAGCAGAGCAGGGCCCAGAGTCTTGTTGATGTGTTCCACAGCCTTCAAGACGCCTAGAGGCCAGAGGAGGGGGTTCAGACCTCTGATCCAATCAGGTCTCTTCCCGTGGACCCCAGCTCCTCAAGAACTTTGGGTTCCAGGCCTTTACTCCAAGCAGATATTGGGGAGAGGGGGTGTCCACGACCTGAAACCACCCCTCACAGGCTCTTCAAGTGTTGGTCTTTCCTCACCTTTGCCCAGGTAGCGAGATTTGTCTCCATCTCTTAGCTCCAGAGCTTCATAGATACCTGTGGAAGCTCCGCTGGGCACAGCTGCTCGGAATCGGCCTGGGGTGAGAGCAATTGGAAGATCACAGACAGGCCCATCCACCCCCAAAGGGCGAAGGCCTCCTCTCTGAGCCTAGGGTGGAGGCCATGCAGACAGCAGACAGACTAGGGCTTCTCCCAGCAGGGGAGCCAGGTTGAAAGAGGAAGGCCTGGGAAGAGCTCTGTGGAAGGGGATCTCGGAGAAAGGTGAGGATGTGGGACAGCTGGGGATTAAAGACCAGATGGGGTCAGGGTCTTCCAAGGCAAACCAAGTCCCGTGCCTGTGTTACCTTTGGCTGTGTACAGGTCCACCTCTACAGTGGGGTTGCCCCTGGAGTCCAGGATTTCCCGGGCAAGGATTTTCTGCATGGCCATGGCTGCAGGACAAGGGGTTGAATGTGGACAGTTGATCCCTTTAGGAACCCCAAATCCTGTGCCCTTTAAGAGTCTTCCCCACCCCAAGAAGGCAGGTGCTGGAGCTAAAAATATCCCACAAAAAGGTCACAGACCGAAGAGGCAGGCACAGCCCCCTCCCCCACTCAGAACAGCTCCTATTCCACCCTCCACCAGTCGCAAGAATCCAGGGGCCTCTCCTTTACAGCTCCAGCGAGTCTGATTCCACCACTCCCTGAACCCCTTTACCGCAAAGTCAAGCAATCTGTTCTCCATGGCTTCCTAGCCATCAGATCTTCTATCATTATTCTGTTTGTTTTCCCCCCTGCTCTTCAGTCTTCAGATCCTAGGGGGGCCCACATCCTCCGCCTGGTTGTAGCCCTAGCTACCCTTCTCCGTATCTCTGCCTGCCTCTCTTCACATCCTCATTTCCCTACCCATGGCTACCCATCCTGCTTGCTCCAACTCCTCCAGTCTTTTGTAAGCACCCCCAGTCCCAGGAGGGGAAAAAGCTGACATTTCCTTCAAACCAGCACCACCCTCACCCTTTACCACTTCCACCCCCTGGGGCTGAAAGATTCACCAGACCTGAATGTCTTGGCTGGGGCTTGGGGTGAGCTCCGGGTCTAGGTGGCAGCTGGGACAGTGTCAGCTCACCCCCTCTCAGGCTGGGCATTTATCCCCAGCCACCCTGTCCCCCAGCCAGCCCCGCCTCTCTCCCTCTCTATCCTCCCCCTCCGCACCCGGCTGGCAGCCAAGTGCCCACTACAGCCTAAGGCCCCCTTCCCAAAGGTCAATAACTACCCCTCCTTTCTCTCTGTTCCCCAGTAAAATGTCCCTACTTTTAATTCTAGCGCTGGGAAGGAGCTTCCGAAGGGGGGCGGAGGGGTCTTCCCCTCCCCAGGACTATATTCCCCTTTTGCAAAGGTTAAAGGGGAACTAGTGCCATTTAGGAAAGGCCAGGAGTAACCTGAGCCCCGCAGGGCTGGGGAGGGGGCCTGGAAGAGGGGCTGCCGGATTGGCATCCACACATGCCGAGCGCACGTGGCCGGCAGGGGCTGCCGCTGCCCTCGGTGGGGGGAGGAACCGGGGCTCTGGGCCAGCTCTGGAGTCTAAAACGGAAACCCCCATTCGGAAGGCGAGAGGGTCTCACCTCTTAGGGCCCTCATCGCGGCCTCTGCCCGCAAGCAAGGAAGGCGGGGGAGCGGGAGGGGAGACGCATTTAGACTGGCCCTGGCCCGGGGAGGAAGCGCGGCCGCCCGACAGCGCTGGGGCGGCGCTCATCGCCCAGCGGGGAGGCCGTCCGCCAGGAGCCCCTTTCCCCAGCGCCGGCGGGCGGCTCAGGACGCGGTCCTAGCCCATCCACGTCGAGTCGGGAGTGACAATGAATGCACCGGAGGAGGGGCGGCCCTTAGAGTGTCCGCACGCCCGGGCCACGCTGGTGGTCCCCTAGCGGCCTCGCGGGGCAGTGGGTCTCAGCGCAGGCCTTCTCCGCCCGGTCGGCGGGGGTGGGGGAGGGGGCCGTGCGGTGCCGGCCCGGAGAGGGAGGGACGCCAAGGCGCGGGCCGGCCGGCGGGCGAGGGCCATGGAGCGCCTGGGCTGCCCGCGCCGGTGACTCACTGCCGCCGGCCAGTCCTCATCTCCCCCCGCCCCTCCCCGCACGGCCTGCGCCGCGCGGTCCGCCCTCCAGCCCCCAACCCCGAGGGCCTTCCCCCGGCTCGCCCCTCCCCCCTTATCTCTGGCCGCTCCCTCTCGGGATTTTTCCACCCCGGGGTGGGGGGTGCGGCAGGCCAGAGGTCAGGAGATGGCGGGCGGGGAGCGCCGCCACGTGCCCGAGTGCGGCCCCGCCTCGGCGGGCCGGTGACTCAGCCCCAGCGGCTGTCTAGGAACCCGAGCTCGGGGGGCGTCGGGTGCCCAGGGCGTGCGGAGCGGCCGCGCCCAGCCCGGGAGGGTGAGAGATGAAGCCCTTTCCCGCCCGGAGGCTCCCCTCCCCCGGGGACCGGAAGCGGCCGGGCCCCGCGGCAGGAGCGCGGCTGGTTCCCCTGAGCCGGCTGCCGGGTCCGGCCCCACCCCCTTCCAGTTGGCGGCGGGCGACCTATTCGAACTCAAGTTGTTGGCATACGTTTTACTGAAAAAGAAGAAAGAAACCCAACGGCCCCAGAGAAGAAAGGACCTTCCCCTTCTTGAAAAAGCTGCAAAGCTTGAAACTTATTCTTCCGCCTTAAAAAATAGGCCCGCCCGCCGAGCCCCGCGGGCGCCCGCGCTCGGTGACCTCGGCGCCCGGGAGCGCGGCCGGTGACCCGCGCTGCTGGCCGGGGAACGGGCGGGGCTGGGACCTGAGCGTGAGGCCTGGCACTGGAGCCGATGCCGTCAGGAGTGATCCCCTACGTGGGGGTGGGGGTGGGGGGCTCCACTGAGTCGAAATGGTGCCACCCGGCCAGAGAGTGGAGACAGGACGGAAGTGTCTCCAGTGGGTGCCTTCACTTCTGAAACTGGCCGGGGTATTTTGTCAAATTCCCCTCTGCTCTCTTATTTTTATTAAGTAAAATCAAAAGTGGAGAAGCGGTAACGTGCACGCCTCGGCTCTCGCCCCCGCCTCTTCCGCCCGGCGGGAGACGCGTCCCCGGCCGCCTTCCCTCGCTGGGGTCCCAAAGCGGCCCCGGCGGGCGCAGCCGGCCGCCGGCCCCAACCGCCCCACGCGCTTTCCCTCCGGGGCCGGCGCAGGCGCGGGCGCACGCGCCGCCGCCCGCCGCTCCTTCCCTCCGGCGGAGGTGGGGGAAGGGGAGTCGTTCCGTTTAACCCTGAGTTCCCCGAACCCACTCTTATTTGCTAAATTGGCAGGTCGGTAATTCCTCCTTTTACTTTCCTTCCTCTGGCTCACTCCCTTCCCTTATACCCAAGTGTGGTTCACACTCAATGCAAATTGGAGGGAGCCTTCACCCTAACCTCTTCCTGCTCCCCACTCTTTTCAACCCTTTATGTTGTTTTCCATTGACCTCTGCAAATTTTGCAATGGGGGAGGGATTTTTTAAATTGCATTTGTACAAAGTTAGGTATCTGGGCAGGCAAGGGGGGAGGTAGGGAGGGAATGAGGAGCAGGCCCCGCCCCTACCGCCCTTTGCAAATAAAAATCTAGAAGGGGGGGGAGGAGCAGGAAGTGGCGGTGCGAGGGTTGCTGCACAGCTAGCAGAGCCGCGGTCCGGACGGCAGCGCGTGCCCCGAGCTCTCCGCCTCCCCCCGCCCGCCAGCCGGAGCCCAGCCCGCGGCCCCAGCAGCAGCGCCGAGAGCAGCCCCAGCAGCAGCGCCATGTCGACGGTCGGGTGGGACGCCTACATCGGCAACCTCATGGCGGACGGGACCTGTCAGGACGCGGCCATCGTGGGCTATAAGGACACGCCCTCCGTCTGGGCCTCCGTCCCCGGGAAAGCCTTCGCCAACATCACGGTACTGCGAGGCCTCCGCGGTCCGGGTACTGGCCGAGCTTGGACTCTGAGGGAGGGACTTGTGTGGCGGCGGGTGCGGTCTGGGAAGGGCTGCGAAAGGCCGGGACCCGGTCCTTGCCCTGGAAGCGGCGCGAATGGCGGCTGCACGTGAGGGTCCCTCGGCAGCCCCCTAAGTGCTACGCCCCAGGCGGTGTCTCCCATCCAGCCCGCCGCCCGCTTTCCGCGACGGGGCGTTACATCCGGGGCACAGGGCGGGGAGGGGTGCGCCGCCCGGTGCGGCGGCCCACTTCCGCCTCGTTCAGGGCGGGGCGGGCACGCGCTGCAGTTCCAACCGGGGATTATGATTGAGAAAGGACTGTGGGACCCTTGGACCCCCGAGCTCCACTTCCGGCCGCCAATTCATACCCCCTCCACCATTGTTCCCCCTTATGCGGGAGGGAGCGTGGTCGGGGTTCCATGCTGGTCCTCTGTGGGCTCCCTGCCCCTCCCAACTTGGTTGGAAAAGACTGGGCCGCCTCATGTCCCCAACTCCCCTCCCCAAGTCTGCGTGGTGGACTTCAGCATTCCTGTGAGACCAAATCCGGAAGTCCCCTCGCCCTCCCTTCCCGCCATCCTGCGGGGCCTGCAGCAGGGGAACTTTGTGAGAAGTTCTAGGGTAGTATAAGGAATGACCCCTGCTGTCCCCATCACTGCCTCCCGGGTCCACACTGCCCGGAAGTGGGGAGGGGGAGCGGAAGTTCAAATTGGGGGGAGGGGATTTCCGGGCGGGAGGGGACCGGATGTGGGGATTTGGGGTGTAAGGGGGAGGGGTGGAAAGGTTCCTTGGGGTATCTATACCCGAGAGCTAGCGTGCTGGGTCCATCCCAGGTCCCCTTTTAGAAGTTTTCCAACTTCCCCGGAAAGCCCCCAGGGATCTGCTTCCTCATCTTGGGGCATAGGTACCTGGACCTAAACTCTAGGTTACTTGGAGACCCAGGCGTCCGGGCCCCTAACAACTCCTTCAGAACCTTTGACCAAATAAGGACAAAGTTGCTTCTCCGGCTTTGCCCGCCCCCTCTCTTCCCCTATTAGCTTCTGCTTTTCCTGAAGGAGGGTTCTGAGCATCCAAAGGCTCCCCACTCCATTCCACTCCACTTTCCTCACTGGCTTTTGGCCCTTTATTTCCTGGGTTTGCTAAGTCTCCAGAGGAATATGCCATCTCTTCATGTTACCATTCTCTGGGTTTGAGGATCCTGATCTTTTTGTGGACTAACTTCCAGAAAGTCCTAAGAGCTTCTCAGCTTTCATAGATGAGTACAAAGCACTTAACACACACATTTCCTCTCCTGAGAAGTGAGAAGCGGGTATGCCCTTGGAGAAGGTGGGAACCTTGGTGTACTAACTTGAGTGCTTGGTTCCCCTTCCAGCCAGCTGAAATTGGTGTCCTGGTTGGCAAAGACCGGGGAAGTCTGTGCGTGAATGGGCTGACAATCGGGGGCCAGAAATGTTCTGTGATCCGGGACTCGCTGCTGCAGGACGGGGACCATAGCATGGATCTTCGTACCAAGAGCACTGGGGGAGCCCCCACCTTCAACATCTCCGTCGCCATGACTGCCAAGGGTGAGTTTTCTGAGTCTTATCTTTCTGTAGTCTAGCTCCAATATCCCTAATGTACATCCTTCTATGAATCTTTTGGGTTCTTCTGTGTGGTTCCCCAGTATGAAGGGATCAGAGCAGCCTTCTCCCAGCCTGCTGGGTATTTAGGGTATTGGATAGTCCCTCCAGTTCTTAGTTCCTCATCTTAAAATATAAAGAAATCGACTATATTACCTCTTCAGTTTCTTCCTACTTGAGGCTTTTCAGATGAGAAACTCCTTTTTGGGAGGAGACTGACTGTTGATTGTAGTCAGCACTTAGGAGTTGTCTTTTGAACCCTTTTGTTAAAATTTGGAGTTGGCAGGCTCATCCATATCCATTTCTAGCCTGAACAGGAGTCAGGTCTATAAGCCTTTGACCCCTAAATTTTAGTGTTCTGCTTCCAGTCTTTTAGCTTGACCCCCCCCCCCCCCCCCCCCCCCCCCGCCTTTTTTTTTTTTTTTTTTTGAAAAGCCCTATTGTTTCAGGGTGACTGACAGTCGGGCCTGCCTGTGTGTGTGGGGGGGGGGTGGTTGGGAGATGAGGTTGGGTTACAGCCCACAGGGCTGGACAGCTGCTCAACAGCTGGCAGGGGGGTAGCATTGTGACACCTGGGTCCTAGCCTCCTCTCTTTTTCCTCCAGCGCTAATCCTGCTGATGGGCAAAGAAGGTACCCACGGTGGTGTGATCAACAAGAAATGTTATGAAATGGCCAGCCACCTGCGGCGTTCCCAGTACTGACCTCGTCTTTCCCTTCCCCCTACCACTCCCCACTGCTTTGGCACTCTCCTTCCCATACACACACATATACCATTTTTATTTTTTGGGCCATTACCCTATACCCCTTATTGCTGCCAAAACCACATGGGCTGGGGGCCAGGGCTGGGCGGAAGACACCTCCCCCTACCCATACCCCTCCCGTGTGTGGTTGGAAAAAAATTTTTGTTTTTTTCTGAATAAAAAAGATTCTAACAAGGTGCTGTGTGGTTTTAGCCTGAGTGGAGGGCAGTCATTAGGACTTGCCTCCTTTATCCTTGTTTGGGGTTGGGAGCAGGAAGGGTTGAAGCACTACAAAGTCTAGGACTGAGCACCTGCCTCAGGCCTATCTGGCCGCCTGTTTCTAGCCCTAGGTGCAGGTGCTAGTTGAATTAGTGAATAATGGAATAGAGCCATCTAGACCATAGAATGGGCCCCAGCCTGCAGGCAAGGCAGGGACAGTTGAGTCATCCTGTGGGTGGGGCTCCCCCTCTCTGACTCACAAAATGCTGGGGCTATCCCCATGATTAGGTTAGTCTCTTCCAGAACTCCCTTGCCCCTTTATACCAAAAAAGGGGGCAATTTCCCAAGTGGGTAAGAGGTTCATTTGTGTGAGAATGATCTTCCCCTTCCTTAGTCAACAAAAACAATTTTATTAACCCAGTAATTGAAGACCCAGTCCCTTTGTACCAACCCCCTCAAAAGGATGGGATTGGGTAAGGGAGAAACCCAGGGTAGAAATATCCCCTATTCTTCAACATAGAAGGCTAGAGAAAGGCTGTGCAAAATAGGTAATCAGGGTGGGGGTGACAAGGGTTATTAGACTAGGATGGCAGCTGAGGAGGGCAAAGGAGGAGAGGGTACGGGATCTATTGAAGACTCAGGAAAAACAAGTGGGGCTGGGGCTAGGGAGCCAAAAGAGGTGGGCGTTGCAGGGCTAGAGCCCAGAAGTGGGGTCCGCTCTGAGGCAGGATGGTCCCTTGGTTCCCCTTCCTCATCACCATCTTGTCCCTGAGTTTCTTCCTCCTGCTCCTCATCCCCAGGACCTCGATGGACAGGCTGCTTGCAAATGGGGCAGGTCTTCCGGGTCTGAGTGAGCCAGGGGTCCACACAGCGGCTGTGATAGGCTGCCGAGAGGAATGAAGTGAAACAACATGCCTGCTGGTAGAGTGGGACATGGGCACTGAAACTGAGGGCCTCACCATGTGCACAGGGGAGTACCCGCAGCTTGTCACCATCCACATACTCATCCAGGCAGATGGCACAGACATCGTACTGGTCTCCTGGGGGGCGGAAAAAAGGAGTCCTTTTATTCGGGTACTTTGGACCAGGGCCCATAAGCACTCACTCTGGGAAGCCTATAGGTAGCTAACCCTTGCAAGTTATTTTCCCTGGTTCTACAAAGCCAGTGGAATAGCTAAGACTGGGACTTGCAAGGATAAAGCCAAGGTAGAACACGAGGAACGGAGGTTTAGAAGGGACAAAGAAAAGCAGAGGTAAGAAGGGAAGTGGGTTTTATCTGGGGAGGGGTGTGGGTGGAGATAACCGCAGTGGGAGGGGTGGAGATGAGGGTAGGGCTTCTACTATGGCCTTATTTGGGCATGGAGACTCCTGGGCCGAAAGACCTCGCCCCTCCACCTGTTCTCAGAGTAAATCCTGCCCACTCCTTCCATTTATGTTCTCTTATAATCAAGGTTGGTCCTCATCTTTCCCCCCAACTACTCCATTAGTCATCTTTACTTCTCATCTGCTCTGTTCCTATCCTGTCTTCATTATATGTGTGGGTAAAAAGAGGAAAGGTGCCTGGCTGGTGTGGCTCAGGTGAGTTGTCAACCCATGAACCAAGAGGTCACTGGTTGGATTTCTGTTCAGGACACATGCCCAGGTTGTGGGTTTGATCCCCAGTAGGGGGGTGCAGGAGGCAGCCAATCTATGTTTCTCAAATCAATGTTTCTATCTCTATCCATCTCCCTCTCTAAAAGAGGCAAGGTGGCATCTCAGGCTGACATCTCCCTGCCATCTTTCTTTGCCCCTTATCTCCTGGGCTCAAACTCCTTCAGAACCATACACTATGGGGAAGGCCTTCTGCTCCCCTACCCCCCTCACCCTTCTGATAGTCATGTGTCGGAATCTGTTTAAGTTGCTCTTTCGTCAGTCGGTTCCGCTGGAGCCGTTTCCGGTGCTGGATACAACGAACTATCTGGGGAAAGGGAGTGGATGGATCAGATCAGCCTTAGGGAACAAAACTGGACAATCCAGTACAAAGCATCCCCATTACTAAACCCCAGAGCCAGTCTGGTTTTAAAGGCCTCAGCTCTTCCCATCATGCTCCCTGAGCTACTCACCATCACTGCTCCCATGGCCAAAACCAGCAGTCCCACAATCCCTGTGAAAGGGATGAGGTAATAACCCAATGGGAAAGCACTGTCCGGGACCAGAAGCACTCGAGCCCTGGGAAAAGGAAGACCAACCAGTATCAGGGGCAGGAAAAGCAGTGACAAAGGAAGAGAAAAAGTAACTGACTCTGGATAAGGCCCATGGATGGAAAAGGGGTGGAAAGTCAAGAGACAGAAGGGCCTGAGGCTTGGGCTCCAGATTGGCATGGAAGTGCTAAAGAAAGAATGGGAAAGAGGGACACATCCTACCCCTTCTCGTAGACAAAGAGGGCACGCAGGTACTCGGAGCTCCTCTCCCCAATAAACACAGACGGGATCCAGATCTGTTGCTGGATTTCCTCTGCAGGGATCAGGGCATTCATTACACTGAGGACTCAACCCTCTACTCAAATGCTTTGGTAATCCTAGCATTTGGTTCTTTTGTGCCATCCCACCCAAAGATCGACTTCTTTCCCCTAATTCTCTAGCCCAGTGGTCGGCCCGCACAAAATACGTGTGGGCGCGCACATACAGTGTGATTGGAACTTCGTGGCCCATGCACAGAAGTCGGTATTTTGTGGAAGAGCCACACTCAAGGGGCCAAAGAGCCGCGTGCAGCTTGCGAGCCGCAGTTTGCCGACCACTGCTCTAGCCCATCCACCATCTCTTAAGTCTGAACTCTACTGAAAACCCAGCCCTTCAGGTCCAACCTTACCACTATTCCACACCATGTTCAGAAGTTCATTGGAATTCACATTGTGTACCACGGCTGCACCATACCCAGCCTTCTGAGCATTCAGGACCTACGGAGACAAGACAGGATAAGGAGCCATTATGGGTCTTATCTCCCTTCATTCCTGGTGCATTTTTTTACCCTCAGATTCCCAGCTCCCACTCCATATTCAGCAACCTTGAGGTCAAAGTTGCAGTCGAATCTTCGAAGCAGTGCAATAAAGACTGACCCGTTGACCGGGGCTGGGGGTGGTGGGGCAATGGGGCTGCAGGCATTGGCTGGGTGAGCCTCCACAAGAAAGCCCTGGAGAAAAGAAGTAAACAGTTGGATTTCACCTCCCTAGGTTCTGCTCTCCATAGGGCCCACCAAGCACACTGGCCCCCACATACATGTTCTCTATCTACTTCCTTCTCATTCCTGGGGTCTGAGCATTCCACCTAAGTCAGAAATCTACCTCTTCTCAGCTTCTTGAATATGAAAATATATCAAACAACATCCTTTTACTAGACCATCCCTTTATCCCTCTCCATGTCCCAGATGAGCTAACCTATACCCCATACTCCAATTCTCTAATTCAAATTCTGCATTCCAGTTTCCCACTGATTGTACATCAACTCTCCACTTATCCATGTCACTTTCTCTCAAGTTCCATTTCACACTCCCCTCTCCAGTACATACTCATACAGAACATACTCCTCTCTGTTAAAAAGAAGCGACAACACACACAAAATATAAATAGAAAAGAGGCAACAGGGCCCTGACCTGTGTGGCTCAATTGGTCGGAGTGTCATCCCATACACAAAAAAGGTCACAGGTTCCATTCCCAGTCAGGCACATACTAGGTTTCAGGCTCAATCCCTGGTGTGTATGGGAGGGCAGTGATTGATGTTTCTCTCCCTTCCTCTCTCTCCAACATCAATTTAAAAAATGGAGTCACTTGTGCTAAGCCCCATGTCACCAAACTGAGACTTAATACCGAACTTAATTATAGTTTCAGCCACTCCCAGGAATGGAATCATAAGCCATTCTGGAATTACCTGGTCAGCACTAGTGAAGTAATCTGCCTGATAGACCCCCTGCCATTACCGAAAGGTGACCTTGCCAAAAACAACCAGCTTTTTGCTAATGTAACTCCCTTGTCCTGCTCCCTTCTGCCTTAAAAGTCGTTCAGTATGTACAATTCTTTGGAGTTACTTTCTATTTGCTACATGGGTTATTGCCCAATTCATAAATCATTGGATAAAGCCAGGAAGGTCTTTAAAATTTACTCGGTAGAATTCTGTGTGTTTTTTAGAATGTGTTTTTATTGATTTTAGAGAGAGAGGAAGGGAGAGGGAGAGACAGAAATATCAATGAGAGAGAAACATCATTGATTGGCTGCCTCCTGCACAGCCTTGACTGGGGATGGAGCCCACAACCGGCATGTGCTCTGACCTGGAATGGAACCTGTGATCTCTCTGCATGGGCCAAGGCTTAACCACTGAGCCACACCTGCCAGGCTAGAATTTTGTTTTTTAACACCTCTCTTTAATTTCCCAATTACCCATCCTACAAACAATTACATTGATATCTATGGCCCGATTTTTGCTGTGTGGGCATCTTTGTGATTAAGTACTACAAAATTTCTTTATCTAATTTAATCCTCACAATAGCCCTGTGAGATAACATCTATTATTATCACATGGTAAAGTAAAACTAAGGCTCAGAGAGATCAACTTGTCCATGATCATATAAAGCAATAACTGACCCCAGAGATTCTACTGTAAACACCACTTCTCCCTGCCTTTTATCTTGATCCACTTTCAGTCTCCCTCACAGGGTTCAGATTTCTTAGGCTAGGCTGGGTCTTCTCCCTCTAGATTCTGGATTCCACGCTAGATGTGCTAATGCACTTTCTCACTCAACTCTTCCTACCTCTAGCTTCATCCAAGGGTATTATGGCTCCTCAATCCCTATCCTGGATGGGAGGTTTAAGGAAACAGAAGAGGAAAGAAAATTACCTGAAGTCCCTCCTGGCTCAAGGCAGAACCAAAGAGAGCTGGGAGGTCTGCAAAGTCCATGCTGGTATTGTGGTCCGAAGTCTGCGGACAAAAGATTGCATGTTCCCCTTCAG